GCCTGTACTATCGAATGCTCATGCACGCACAAGCTTGTTTTGCTCGGGGGCGCTTGGCTTTCCAAAACTAGTGCTCTCGATTTCTCAAGTACACTCTACAGTGCATAGAGCTTCAGGAGCATATCCCCTACGGCCTTCCAAGCATTACGGCCCTTGTTCCAGTATGTGAACTGAGCCGCACGAAGCTTGCGTCGCAAGACAGGATTTCCTGGCTTGCGGGGGGCACGCCGAATATAGGAGCGGACATGTCCCCAGAAGCGATCAATAATCTGCGTGCCGGATTTCACACGCAGTTTACCGCCCTCAGGAAGCTTCAGGTCGTACACCTTCGTGAAATGGGGCTTGATCCATCGGACCTGACGTGGGGCCCGTTATCAAGTTGTGATAATTTCGTGAAGCAGACGAACAATCAGTCTAACTATACAGTCCGTAACAACAAGAAACAAAAGAGTGTGTTATGAAGTAAGGTTGGAGACACCTGGCCCTTCAGCATCACACGCTTCTTTTTGTGTACGACGTTTGCATGGAGAAGGCCGGGCATGCGGAGCTTGTAGGCGCGAGCTCCATCGGTGTGAAGCACAACTTTGCGATCTCGAAGAAGTGGTGCGCCGATTTTGCCCCATTCGATCTTGCGAATTGGGCCCGGCCCCGGCGAGTTTGGCTTGGTCGCGGGGGGCTGCAGCCGGAACAACCGGAGGGAGGTGGGACGGCCTCGCTCCACGATGCCACACCACTGTTCCCACTTGAGGTTGTATGCAGGATCATCTGCATCGTCCACCAAAGCCTTCCCCAGGTCGACCTCATCCGCTTCCACGTCCTTCCACATGGAGCCAGACGGGTCGCCGTAGGTGATGAGCTTCTCCTGGTGCTCGACATACCTTGCCCGAGCAATCTCTAGATTCGTGAAGATGCGCTCAACAGGCTTGTGGTCCACATCGAGAATCAGGTGGGTGGCGGTGCTAGAGACACCCGCTACGGCCGAGAACAAAGCGCAGACCTGAGTGTTGAAGTCTGTATAGCTGTTGCCAGCACCACCAAAGAAGATGGGATGGAAGTCGTGGGGTTGAACGAACTTCTGGCACTTCTTGCGAGGACATCGATACAACCATGCATGCCGGGAGGAGTGCTTCGTGAGTTTGCCTAGCTTACCTTCACCGCAATGAGGACACAGCTTCCCTGACCAATCTTGCAAGATGTTCTCCTTGGTAAGAGTTCGAATCAAAGTTTCCTCCCGCATCCTCATGAATTGGGGGATGGAGTGACCCCATCGCTGTCGATCAGTCCTGTTCTTCGTGGTAGGCTCACCATGTCGAACATAAGGAACTGGAGCAAACTTTTTCATGGTCTTGGAGTTGTGGTTGGTGACGGGCTTCTTGTAGAGATTGCGTACCTTACCTCGTTTCGGCAATGGCCAGCACCTTCCAGCTGATTTCTTCTGATTGATCTTCTTGGGCATGGCAGAGACAGGACGCCGGCGAGGGATACAAACACTGCGCTACTGATGGATTGCTGGAGCCAGTCCAAATGATGCATAGTGTCACGCTTTCATAGTGCAGGAAGTCTGAACACGAGATTGGAAACCGTTCGCTCTTTTGGAAGCAAGCGATACTGCATCATGCCACTGCAAAGTGGGATCACGGCAGGCCCACAGCGATTTCAAATAAGGTTCATACTGCTGCTGCAGCAAGAACACATGGTTCTAGCGGAAACAAAACTAAGCGGTGGGCCTGGAATGCTACATCATACGCAGACGAGAGCTATGTTTAGCGGGCCCCTCAGTTCGCACAGTCCATCTCATCTCTGCCCTCGAGCTCGTCGAAGTGTTTCTCTACGAGTGTTTCCAAGTCCTGCTCCAAAGCGTCCAGCTCGTTCTCTGGCTTCTTCGTGCTTGTTGACTTCGAGGGTGATGGAGACGAGATATCAAAGATGCCCATCGCGGCGGTCGAGGTCGAGGACAGTGCACGGGAGAAGACAGATGACGGCTCAGTTTTGATCTTCACCGGCGAGGTAGCAGGCGAGGAAGGCGGTGTGACAAGATCCAACACTTGGCCGTTTAGTTCCTTTGCTTTCTTGCTCAGCACACCCTGCAAGTCATGAGAGGCCTCCCTTTTCACTGGATGCAGTCGCGGCTCCTGTTTGATGATGGCAGGTGCTGTGTTTGCCTGCATGGCAGGTGCTGTGTTTGCCTGCGAGTTCAAGTTCCGTGCTACCGTCGCCCCAAGTGCATCTGGAGACAAAGCCT